AATGGGTATTACTTAGCGGCATCGAATGGGACCTTAATGAGGTTATAGAACTGGCTATAGACGAGGCCTTTCTGAAGCTCCTAGCTTCCTGGCCCGGGAGTAATCGTTATATCTCTGGCATCGCGGAGGGTTACAAATGGGTAGGTAGTCTAGCGAATAGGTGGGCTATGGCGCTTACCCGACTTACCCTAATTAACGCCCTCTTCCCGCCTATTAAGGCGATTCTAAAGCTGGCTCCATTGTAGCCGACGACGCCAGAGTCTATCTAGATAGCATCGGCGCCATATTAATATATGCCCACGCGGTCCCATCTCGGCGGGTATCAGCTAGCGCCCGATATCGATATACGTCGCCTGCGGATTAATATAGGTCTCATCGACTATAGAGTCCCAGTGATAATGCCACTCTTTAAGTATTAACTCAAGCGTAGGCCGCATCCATATTAACTTAGTATTCTTAGTAGCTATATAGAGCCGCAGGCCAGCATACTCGGGGAAAGGAGTAGCCCTTACCTAGACTTCTTCCCAGAGAGCGGCAAGGTATTAAGACTACAATATAATATAAAAGTGCTTACGGTGCGGTCCTAACGGGTTACCTAATGCCTCTTGCCTCTTCGTGCCTATAAATCCCCCTAGTTCCTCCTCTATATCCGCCTCCTCTTCCTCGACCACCGCTTTAGCTACTAACGCTTCCCGGGGTGCACTTAAGTCTAACGAGGCGATAGCGTGGGTTTTAGGAATATATTAGAGTATATTATTATTATTAATAACGGCTTATATAGCGGGTAGCGTTACTTCCTTATACTAGTATATAAATCTTTCCCTCGGGATATAAGTCTGCGTATAGGGATTAGAGAGTTGGCTGCGGAATAGGGCAGGGAAGAAGACTTAGATATAAGTATCCGCTAGGCTAATAACGCGCCCGAGGTAGTAATTTAGGATATTATAGAGAGGCTATATTATGGCGGTATTACCGTCTAGACTACCGGGAGAAGGGATTTCTATGCTGAGATAGATATTATCGATATGATTAAGAGCGACGTGCGGTTAAGTATACTATTAGAACCCTAGCCTAGCGACGCCGAGGGATATTAGGAAGCTATAAAGACTATCGATATTATATAATAATGAGATTGAGTTGCGCTTTGGTCCTTGTGACTGGTAATAATAGGAGTATATACATAGGTAAGGCGGGTTTAACTTATCTATTATTAAGCCTTCTATCGCTACCTTGCAGGCGCTGCTATACCGGGTAGGGCCATTTTCCAAATAAATCTCCTGAGGCCCGGGGCGTAGTAGATCTTGTGCTAGATTAAGGACTGATGGGAGATGAGTCTCGCTCGTGTCGCTATTCGGTGGGGTCCTACCCTCTAGCCGCTTTGTGACGTTAAGGAGTAAGGAGTAGGTCAGTGGAGCCCCTCGTTCCTTGGTTGCCTTTTCTATCTGAGCATAGTAGTTATCTTTATGCTGCTGAGAAGTATATCCTATCGCGCTATTCCACTCTTAGAATAATAGCACGGCAAGGTCGGCGGGTTCCACGGTTCTATTAGTAGTACCGTCAGCCAGAGTCTCGAGCCTTCCGCGTTGCAGTGCTACGTTAGCCTGCCCATCGGCCGCGGCGTTGGATAGTGATAGCACGCTAAGGTATTATGAAATGACCTCGATCTAGTATGATATGGCACTAACCTCTCGTAGATCTAGGTTATATATCCCAGATAGGTATGGCTCCTACTGCGTCTAGTTAAGCTATTCGAACGGCAAGGTCTTATCCTCGCCCCGGCCCATAACTCGATCACCTATAGCTAAGAAGCACCGGGCACACTCTATCACTATAAGGCCGCAGGTCCACCCATATACTTGCCGAGTCGTCGGCATATCATAGATCAACGCCGGTATAGAGCCTTAATAATCCACCATAGCATCATAGACCTCTCGGAGCGCCGAATAGCAGGAGTCATTAGGATAGAGGGAATCAAAGACAAGGAAAGACAATCGGGCTCGCTAGTAAATAGCGAGAGACTAATAACCGATCGTATTATCGACACCCGGATAAAAGATAGGTATAATCGTATTATTATACTAGCGTATATCTTCGATCTCGGCTAGGCTCAGCTATATAGTATAATATTCACCTAGCTAGATAGTCCGCATAAGTATGATAACATCCTAGCGGCCACTCAGCTCAATAATAAGCCGAATACCACAGAGGATATCCTCAGTAACGAGGTAGTCCTATTATTCAAGCCGATAGCGGAGATTCTAGGTATAAAGCCTATAGTAACTCTATTCGACCCCAAAGTTTCTCAGTACTTAATAAAGACGGTCGATAAAGTCCTAATGCTCCTATATAAACGTCTTAACGCTAGCAGCCGATAATAAGAGAAACCCGTCTTGGTCATAGGCATTGGCCCTTATTGACCCGGGCGAGCCGTCTAGCGTGTAAGGGGAAGGCCGCAGCTAGGTATATAAGGTATTCTTTTACTCCCGGGGGGTTAATCGATTCCTTGGCTGGCATAGCCGTTGCGGCGTTTCGGTCTGCGGCCCATTAGAGGTATGACAGGCGCTAGTAGAAGCGACAGATTAAGGGCTCTACCCCGCTAGATCGTCTGGTAATCCCATCGTGCTTAAGGATTATAGTGGGTTAATCGCCTCTAGTAAACCGGGTTAGTAAGTAAATCATTCCGATAGTAAACTATAAGATCCTCTCTAAATCCTTCTTGCCTCTTATTATCTCCTAATCCAGGGTGATAAGTAATTGCTAGACTATATCGACTAGGGCTTATAGTTCTTTATCCCGAGCTTTAAGCTATAACGGGCTAGGTTAGTCTTAGATAAACGCCGCGTCGGCTACGTCGCATCCTTATAATATAAGCTTAAGCTAAGCCTAAGAGTTTTTAAAAAGTAGGTAGTAATCTTACGCACCGACCGGACTTATATAGTTAGTCCATAAGTTCTCATCGTGGTTCTAAACTAGCGGGTTATATAGTGCTACTACCGGGCCCGCTTCGGTCTCGCTTGGTTCGTCGTAGTCGCGATTATAAGTAGACTCGGCCGGGAGTGGAACTTCGAACGGTATAGGGATCTAGAGATACGGCTCTAAGTGGAGGCCAATAATCGGATCCATCGTCGACGATATAGCAGGCAGGTAAGGTTAATAATAATATATAAACTCTGCCTATTGCGATTCAATCGGCGCGTAATAGGAAATAACGGCTTACTTATATTATTATTAATAGTATCGCTATGAGCATGCACGTTATAATGCAAGTCATTCCTCTTCGGTTTGCGGCACTTTTCTAGCCAGGCAGCCACGACGTTTCGGAGCCGGTTAAGACATTATCTTCCAGGGAAACCTACATAGCAATATTTTAGCTCATTCCCCCAGCGTTAGCTACGCGAGATACCTATATTTCCCTTACTACGCGTCGGAGGGCTAATAATTATAGCTTATATAACATAAAAAACATTACTTTTTTGATAGCCATAGTTAATAAGATCACAACTTAATAAAATACCTCATATTAACTAGATAAAGCATCATTGCGTCATAATATATATAGCAATAGTAATATCCTTGCATTCTAAAGCTCTCCCATCCATTATATATAGTTTTCCGGCTCTAATTTCGGTTTTCTTTTCTCTTAAGGATATAATAACTAAGTTCAGGGAGCTATATCATTTATATTAAGACTTTCCGTCTATACTTAAACTAAACCTAACCACATTCTAATACATTGCCCCCTCGCTTACCTATTAGCGACGAAGATATAAGATAATAAATAAAGCTCAAAGCGAAGACATAAAGAAAATAATCAACGGAACTGATCTTCTACTTAGCGGTTAGCTACATATAGACTTACTATTTTTCCCACACGATATTCTTATTCTAGGGTAGCTATCGCGCTATACCTAATTAAATTAAATATAAGCTAAGACTTTCGGTATGTCCCGCGCTAAACCGCTTTAAATTAAATATGAGCCAAGACTTAAATATGGGCTATCCTCCCATCTAACCTATTTTCCTCTCCGTTTTCTTTAAAATTCTATAACTAATTCTATAAAATAGCTAGCTAACCCGGGAAATATCTTATCGTCATTAAATAATTCATTTTAAATACTAAGCCTAGACTGGTATTGTATTTTGAGAAAAGTGTACCCCGAACACAGCCGTCAGTTCCCTAACCCTAAGACCTATATCAACACATAACTTTCTATTTCTTTCCTTTCCTTTCTTTTCTTCTCCCTGACCTGGCTGGCTAACCCTAACCCCTAACCCCAACTGACGTTCGAGTCCAACAACTGCCCCAATGATGCCTAGGCCGGGCTGCTAGGGCTCTTATTAATCCGACCCCTATAGCACCTAATTCAGTAGAAAATAGGGCTAGGCTGCTAGAAAAGCACCCTATTGGATCAAAAGACCCCTTCCAAGGCAAGACCCGCCCAAGGGCCGGCCAACTAATCACGTCAGAGACTATTATAGCAGCTATAGCCTCTATAGGCAAGGAAAAGGCCCCGGGCCTTAGTGGCTGGACTAGGCCTCTTCTAGACCTAGTAACTAGGAAAGATTCCCCTGTGATAGCTTTCCTAAGGCTGCTAGCTGATATGATTCGCCAAGGCACGGCCCCTGGAGCCCACCTATTATGCGCTAGCCGCCTTATAGGGCTTGAAAAGCCCGATGGAGGGGTTAGACCTATAGCTATAGGAGATCTTATCTATAGGGTAGCTATGAAGGCGATCCTAATAACCTCCTATCGGCCGAATATGCTCTTACCCTTCCAGCTAGGCGTGAATAGCCCAGGCGGGGTTGAACCCGCTATTTTCCTCCTCTATGAGGCTATTATAGGCTTAAATGAGGCTAATTTTCAGTAGCTAGCCTCTATAGACCTTGCTAATGCCTTTAACTCAGTAGATAGGGCTTCTATAGCTGCTTCTGTAGCTACTTTTGCCCCTACCTTCTATAAGGCAGCAGCTTGGGCCTATAATGACCCTTCTATCTTAGTTATGGAAGATGGGTCAGCTATAGCCTCGGCCAAGGGCGTAAGGCAAGGTGACCCTCTCGGACCTCTTCTTTTTTCCCTTGCCTTTCGACCTACCCTAGAGGCCCTAGCTAGGAAGCTACCTAGGGCAACCTTAGTAGCTTACCTAGATGACCTCTATATACTTAATAAGGCTCCGCAAGGCACCTTAGAGGCAGCTAAGGAGGTCTTAAAAGGCTCCCCTTTTAGCCTTAACCTAGCTAAAAGCAAGGAAAAGGCTATAGAGGACCTTAAGCTAGAAGGCTTAAAAGCCTTAGGTACTTATATCAGCCCTATCCGGCCTAAAAGAACCTTCTTGCAAGAAAAGCTAGCTACCCTACAGGAAGCCCTAGAGGCCCTGCAAGACCTTCCAAAGCAGCACTCTTTGCTTCTTCTTAGAGGCAGTATCCAGCTTCTTCTAAGGCACCTCCAGAGGCAGCTAGACCCAACCGGGCTAGAAGACCTTTGGGAAGAGGCTGATACCCTTATAAGAGAGGCTATTATAGCCCTAGTGGCTAGAAGCCCTAGTGAGAGCCCTAAAGAGCCTAATTCAAGCCTTATAGCCCTTCCAGTCAGAGAGGGAGGCCTAGGAATACCCTTACACAAGGACCTAGCCCACGAGCTATTCCTAGCAGCTAGGGAGGCCTCGCAGCCTACCCTAGGCCTCATCCGGAAGCCCCTAGCCCAGCCTACCCTAGACCAAAGCCAGCCTAACCAAGGCCAGCCTAGACTAGGGAAAACAGCCCAACAGGTGCTAAAGGAAGCTAATAAGGCTAGGCTAGCAGGCTTCTTAGAGGACCTCCCCGCTAGCTATAGGCATGCTAGGCTAGAAAATGCTAGCTATCTCGGCCGTAAGTGGCTCGGAGTCTTACCTACCCAAAAAGCCCTATCTTTTACAGACTCTGAGGTTACTGAAGCCCTCCGAAGCCGGCTTTTCTACCCAATCAAGCCTATCAGCTTACCCTGTAGCTCTTGTGGAGCTATAGCTGCCTTAGGCCATTAGGATACCTGCAAGGGTGCTAATAGAAGGTGGATTGCAAGGCATGACGCTATAACTAGGGCCTTTGTGAGAGCCCTAAGTAGCCAGCCTACCCTAGAGGTCGAAAAAGAACCCCTAGTCCACCCAGAAGGTAGCCTAAGGGCCGACTTTATAGTTAACCTAGGAAATAGCCGCTATTACTATGATATTTAAATCGTAGCTATTTCAAAGGATTCTGCTAAAGAAGACCCTTATAGCACCTTAAGAGAGGCTACCGAAGAAAAACGCAGAAAATATAGGTCTCTCGGGGCCTTTTTTCAGCCTCTTATTATCTCAGCAGGCGGCCTTATGGACCTAGAGACAGCTAAGACCTATCAGAAGCTCCAGGACCTTATTGGCCCCCTTGCGGCTAACCAGCTAGATTCCTCTATTAGCCTTGCCCTGATGAGGACTAGGGCGACCTCTGCGGCTTCTATAGCCCGAGATACCCCTAGTAACCTAGCTAGGTCGATCTGGAATACCCCTAGGGCTTCTTAAGGCTTTTCTTTATCCTTTACCTTTTATCTCTTATCTCTTATCTCTTTGCCTTTTTCTTATTAGCTATACCTCTCTCTTTTAGTTATATCTCTATTTCCTAGCTATACCTCTCTCTTTTAGTTATATCTCTATTTCCTAGCTATACCTCTCTCTTTTAGTTATATCTCTTTTTCCTAGCTATATCTCTCTCTTAGCTATACCTCTTTCCTAGTTATATCTCTTATGCTTTTTCTTTTATTATTTCTTAGAAAAATCTCCCCTCTTTTATCTATAAGCTATATCTTAGCTAGAAGAAACCCCTAGGGCAAAATAGCTTAGATAGTTAATAGTTACTCTATTCTAACCCTAGCCCCTTCCTTACCTACCCGCTCTTCACATCGATCACACTATTCTACCCCTATTATCTCATCGCATTGCAATCCCTTGCCGTCTATAAACACGCCTAGTACCACTCATCAATAACCAGAAGTATAGATGAATTCCTCCATCGCCTGGCGGTTAAGATATTTAATATCACTGCTATACTAGTCACGCGGCACTCGTCCGCTGCCCAGCACAATTACCGAGTCCACCGCCTCTCCGCTCCGCCGCCCGCCGCGCCTAGTCTACTATATAAAGTCAATAAGCCTATATGATTATTCCATATGGATGATAGCGACGATGCCGCCGATATTAATACCTATCCCGAGTCCGGTCATCGCTATGATCCACCGACTAGGTCCCTCGCTAATAGCCCTAGCCTACTCCTATAAGATCGCTCGCCGCCTGCCTTTATCCTCGATTCCGGCGTAGTAGAACGAGTATCCTAGCTTGCCGGCTAACGCCTCGCATTGTTTCTTCGTTCGGCAATATATTACCCCTCTCTAACCGCTCTATATCCGCTCTTTAATCTAGAGCTTCGCCTTAATAACCTCCTTCTTAACCGCGGCCGCTCTACCCTTAACCTTCCGGATACAATACCAGATATTAAGCTTAGCAGTACTAGCTCAGACTATAGCCGCGTCCTCTGCTAGTATTAGCCTGCGGAACCACTTCTCTATCTTTACCGGCAATATAGCTATTAGTAGCACTACTAGGCAGTCATATCGATACAGCCCTTTTAGCGACTTAAGCCGCTCCCGGTAGCTAGCATCGATAATAGCGGTATGGCTCTCATCGAAGAAGATACGGCGGAGTAAGCCTCGCGCTCGTCGGTTATCTACATAGCTAATGAACTCAGGCGAGTTTGTTAGATCGGCGCTAATAACGATGAGACGCGTATCTAGCTAAGCCTCGTCTCTTCTCGTAGTCATAGCCGGTTCCCACTTCAGATAGTCGATACCGAAATCGTCGCGAGCCTGATCTAAGATATCATCTATTAGCGCCACGAATAGGACCACTACGATGCTAATGCCGGTCTCTTCCGCAACCGCGGGGAGCATAAAGAATATACTTTTGCCACCACCGGTTAGAAGCACATAGATCAGCACCTTACCCCTCCTTATGTCTATGATTCTTACTATGCATTCGTGCTACTTATTAGACTTCTAACTTACGCCCTCTCCTAGAAGCCATTATAGTCCTTATTGAAGCGGAGCGCCTAGTCCTCCGACTACTGCCCCTCCTCCTCCTCCTCTTCCTCCCCCTACTAGTAGCGTCCCTACTTCGGCTATCCCGACCTTCCTCCTTCTTTTACTTTCCTCTCCTATGCCCGCCGCCTCAATCTTAATAGCCTTCCGCTTAGTAGCACCCTTGCTTACCATTGCCTCCAAAATATCAGAGCAATAGCCTTAATAATTACCGGCATTATTATTCCCTATCGGGCTCGCGAGAAACTAGTGCTATAACCGGCTAACCTCTCGATAAGTAGCCACTATCTGCGGCTATAGCTGGTCTAGGAACTAGATATTTACCGCATAACGCCGCGCTAGCACGCTGCCATGCATTAATTACAAGTCAAAGATATACTTAAACCGTCGCTTACCCCGTACTTCTCCAGTAACTAGGTCTACCTTAGCTATTATATTCTCCTCGCCGTCGGCCTCATCGCCGATACCTACTTCTACCTACCTCACTGCTAATCCTCTAACCTTCCTACCTATCTCGATCCCGACGTATTAATACTCCGAAATACCTATAGTAAGACCTATATGCTCGGCAGTTAGAAGCCTTAACCGCTAGGTAAGTAGCTTAGTATCCTATCGGCCTTTCCTCGCGTCTGCCCAGAGAAAGCCTTTAAGAGATAGTCTGGGCCCCTAGATGCCCGCTTGCTTATATAGCATCCTCGCCGTGGGGATAAGCCACGCGATATACGCGACTATCATCTTCGTTAGCAGCTCAGGGAGGAACCATGCTACCTTCCTGCCGATATCGCGGATTGCTTAGCTCTTATCCCGGTCGGTAATAATTATTATCTATCCGTTAAAGATAAACGCGCTGCGGATAAGCTACTATGAGTCATAGTGCCGCATCGTTAAGAGCTCCGGGCCTCGGCCGGGCATCCCCCACTAGATATATGTGACGACGGCTATCGCCATTGCGAAGAGCCGGAAGGTTAAGAGAAACTACTTCACGGTCTTATGTCTCTAGCCCCGGCCCTACCGCTAGAGCTTAGCCTTCCCTAGCTCGGCAACTCTGCGGTAACCCGGCCAGAGCTACTAGTTCTGGCCGTTCGTCGCAAATAACCGCCCGGCACCCTCGAACGTCAAGCTATCAACGATCCATCCTAATTTAATCGTCGCTTTCACCTTCGCCTATTGGCCATATATTAGCCAGTCGAGCAGCTTTTTGGCCTCCCTGACCGCTACCTAGGCCGACTTTTGAAACTCATCGATTATCACTCGCTACCCTAAGTATCGCAGAGCCTCGCCGTTTTCTTCCCATATTACATTCGGCATACCGCTATCCTTCTTCCGGTAGCCCTTACTATATACTATTAACCTAATTATAGTGCTAAATAGTAAGTAAGATTTATCGATGAGCTACTCTCGATATTCCTTCTAAAATTTCTTAATGACCTTAAACCGCATTTCCTCGGGCTCCTCGGGCTCCTCCTCGAAGATATGCTCTAATATTAGCATATATACGCACCAAATAAGCCCTACTAGCTGCCCCGTATAGCCGGCTAGTCGCTTATATAAGTACCCTATTCTCTTATCACTAATGCCTAGCACCGCCGTGAAGTATACGAGCGGGTTGCGATAAATATTATATACTACCTTATACTTAATCGAGCTAATAAGGAATTCAAAGACCCTTCGGTTAAGCACCGCCCTCCTCCTCTCCTCCTCTTATTACTATCTCGCTTCTTCTTCTTCATTATTATCCTCGTCGTTATTATCCTCGCTACCTTTATTACTAGCCGATTCCCTATCGCCGTTAGGGTTATTACTGCTATTATCGCGGCGCCCGCGCTCGTCATTAACTATAGATCCGTATCCGCTCCGTCCTATAGTAGGCCCCGACGGCCCCGACGGCCCCGGCACCCCCCCGCCAACCTTATCGAGAGCCTCTATAATAGCATATAAATAGCCCCACTGCTCATCCGTGAAGCATATCCCGACCTCGGTCTATGCCTTATCCCGCCTAAGCTTCCACACCCGCTAGCAGTGGCATAGATACCGCCCCCTATACGCCTAATATTTCTTATTAGAGCTCTTATGCTCCTTTAGCTTAAATAGCTACCTTACCGGAGTTTCTAGGTTAATGCTATTTAGCCAGCAAAGCGTCTCATTCGGCACCCGTTCTAGCCGACCGATACACCTCGATATCTCTCGATCAAAGCTCTTAATAAGCCGCGCTAGCGTCTCCTACTCCTCGCGTTCAGCGCTATCTCGCATGCCTCTCCGCACGGCCTTAGACTTAGGCCCTAGTCCTAGCTAATAGATCCTCTTAAGATCTCGCCCCTAGAAGTGCTTAGCCTAGCCCGTCTTATTAATCTATGTCGAGTCGTGGTCGATACCGCCGGGCTTCTATGCGATCCGTCGCCTCTCGTCTTCCTCTTTCTTAAGTATACGGCCATACTAGGTTAGTATCCCTCCCTAATCCCCCCCATCGGCCTCATCCCCGTAATAATACCCGCCGGTATCTAAGCCCGGCTCTAATTCGTCCGAGCACCGGCTTATATCCCTTTTAACCATAGCGTCCCGCGGCACTAGCCTCTCGATGACCTAATACCTCGCGAAGCGTCCCTACGAGAAGGTCTAGAGCTCCACCGCCTCTTAGTCGCCCCCGATATCTGCGTAGTCCGATTTCCTCGGATAGGCGAGTATATTCTTTCGGTTGATCATTAGGTACCCGCATATAGTGCACCTGTAGCCCCCTAGCACGGCGAGATCCTCGATCGGTGCGCTGCTGTCGGCTAGTAGCTGGATCTTATATGGATCCCATAGCGGCAATCCCGAGTAGTATGCGGTTACTTAGGCTAGCTCTTCTCCTTTGAGCTGGTGTTGCTTGCGGAAGTAGCTAATAATCCCGCTGATGCGGTCCCTTCCTAGAGGCACCGCCGCTCTATATGTTAGGCATATGTATACCTTATGTTGCGTATTAAACCTTACTCGGCGCTGCGTGTTAATATCCCCCCCCTCTTAGTCCTCGTTTTCTCCTATCGTTATTATTGCCTTTACCTTTGCCTTTGCTATTACTATTGCTAGGAGGTAGATAGTAATTAATAATAGTAGTAGTAGAGGTTCTGCAAAGTAATATTAATATTACCCCCTTTTTAAATATATGCTACTTATGCTATATATATATGCCGAATTAAATTTAAATTTAAATAGATATAATTAATAATAGTTATATAATAATATCCCCTTTTTTCTCTTTAATAACTGAAACCTTAAGTTAACCCTAAGCTAAAACCCCTGACCTATGCGGCATAGGTTTAGCTAGTCATCTAATTATTAGGGTTATTCTAAGCTAATGATGTCTTGTGGAAATGAAGTATATGAAATATTATTTAACCCTTAGTATTTGTTTTTTTGATTTTTAATTTTTGATTTTTTAACTCCTATGTTCCTTTC